GCTATTCCGTCCATTGAAGAGCGCCTCAACTCGCTGGAACGAAGTATGACAGAAATGACCAGCATGATGCGACAGATGGTGGAGCGGTCGCCCAGTGTCTCTGGCAGCTCTGTATCCCTGTTGACAAGGAGTGGTACCACCGACGAGACCGCTTCGATTGAAGGAAGTCAGTCGTCTTCCTTCGCTCCTAGACCTATCCGCCTCATTCAGGACCTTCAGTCCGACTTCATGGGAGAGGCAAATGTCCTACCTGCATATTCCAGGTCACTCGGTGACCCTTTCAGCAAGGGAATCATCGACCCTAAATTATCTCAGAAATTAATTCAATTGTGTGCCACCCCCTTCTCGTCTGATTTTGATCTGTCTTAAGAACTCCACGCTAATCTACTTATCCCAAAGGTTTGTTGATCATTTTGGGACCTGGATCTCGATCGACAATTCGTCCGATATTCACCATGAATTGAGGGCTACAGATCCGCTGCTCTATAGTACAGCTTGTCTGCTAGCATCTCGCTACGTTCCCGGTATACCATCATCAGTAATCCATGCTATGTATCTTCAGATACGACATGCAGCAGTCAACGTCCTCTGGAACACTCCACCCCTCAAGCATGAAACACTTCAGGCTCTTACTCTTCTTGCCTTATGGCCAACAGCAGTACAAAAGGAAACTCCCATGGATAGTTGGTTGCTGAGCGGGATCTCAATCAACCATGCTATCATTTCCTTTGAATTTCTTAACCATGCTCCTGCTGAGCTTATTGTAGACAATGACATGGTTGCGAAACTACGGTTGTGGAATGCTTTATGCCTGACTCAGTTACAGTATGTGTTCGTCATATTCGAGATTTTACGCATATTTGCTAAGAGAACCTTCTAGGTCTGCAATTGGAAACGCTCGTCCCTTTCACATACAGCAGAGGTACCTCGAGCATTGTCCACGACTTCTTGAGCATCCAGCTGCTACATTTGAAGATGGAAAAATTGTGGCGGAGATTCAGTTATATCTGATCGCGCTAAAACTGCAGAATCTCAGCCATCGTATGCGGCTGGGCGACTTCGAATATGAGGAAATCGAACGCTGGAAGATGGAGTGGGCACATCTCTTAAGTAAGTAAATGAAAGGTTGATCAGACGTCATAGGAAGTGGACTAATGACAGGGCAGCTGGCGAGCCACACTCGACACTAGAGCTTAGCCTTTGGTATTGCCAACTGCTACTCTATCGAACCGCAATGAGATTCCATTGGGAGTCCGAACCCCTCATCTCAGAAATCCTCCGTAATTCGCGCCTCATCCTCTCAAAATTCCTGTTGGTGCGCTTTTCAAACGCGCTCGCCTTCCCAGACCAGATATACTACATTGTGGGCTACGCAGCCCTGAATCTCTGCGACTTCAACCCCATAGATCCGCTTATCGACCAGGTCCAAACCTTCCTGCTTCATTTGTCACCGAACGAAGATCACATCGCCTACCGCTTCTCATATACCATCGCAGAGCTCAAGCGGCGTTGCGCTGCAGGTCCTAACCCCGATAGTGCAGTCAAAGGTGCCTTCGGGGATGCTCGGAAACTGAGCATGGGGCAGCAGATACAATTCATGAATCCCCTGATGGATACCATAATGGGAGAGTACGGTGGCTTGGAGCATCTCTTGCCCGAAGTTCCTCCGCACTCCTTGCCCGATATGCTCACCAGTGTAGCCGGTGAGCTGCAAGCGTTTCGTACAGCGATCCTTTGACATTGCCAATCGTATATGGGATTCTTGCAGGTATTGAGATTAATATGAAAACGCCTCATGTGCGAAAAGGCCGCCCGTACAGCGCGGCACTAATGTGTCTTGTATCTTCTTTCCGAAGCATGAAGCAGGCTTCACCTCCCGAGGTCAGGCGATTTTCAAACAATGTTATTGATCCAACTTTGGCCATTTCAATCTTATACTCGACTCTGGCTTTTTCGAACGCTAGTTTTAATCAGGTGTAGTCATAGGTGTCTTGAGAACTTGATTGCTCGAGTCTCGATCCTCCGTTGGACGAGGCAATGACTAGGAGTCTTCAGGTTGCAGTTGCCATGGTCCGAGTGCTCTTTTGAATGCCAAACATGGCATGCGAACATCTGTATCTCAATCGTAAGGGCGCATAGTCCTACAATGAGCCCCGAGCGCCACTCGGCATCCCTCAAACTCAAAGTCAATTAAGATACGTCTTGTCTTTCTGCGATATATATTCAATAGTAGCTGTACTAGAGACAGATTGGTCGATATGAAAAAGAGCTGCCATGCAATTGATGATTTATATATAGTTGAACAGACATATATAATGATGCTAAGACAGGTCAAGTAGAAAGAATTCAATCCCAGTGAAAGTCCTCAGAGAAACCGCATCGCCCTTTGTTCGATGCGCTGCTGCTCAAGTACAAATTTTACTTCCGTTCAGCCCAGCTGTCGGGTAAAACACCCGGGGCAAGCCACTAGCCATGGCAACGGGGACCTTCCCATCTGAGTCTACTGTCACCGTGGCGCAGGAGTAGATCTCAGTCAGTTGTTGTCCGGCCGCATAGCCGGTTCCGCTCAGGGAGAGCGTGTACGAACTTCCAGAAGCACCGAGGTTCGAGAGGACGGTGACGACTTGCGCTCCGTCAGTGCCTTTCCGCATGGCGATGGTGGAGGTATCTTGGTAGATGGGGTTATTCTGTGGTCTGGGTTAGCTTGGGCTTGGTTGCGTGTGGTGGTTTCGGAAGTGAGTGCTGTGTACCTTATAAGTCACGTATTTCGGGTCCTTGCTAATGGCGTGATTCCGGATGGCGTTTGTTGCCGCGATGTGCTTGTATAGCTCGCCGGTGGTCGAGTAGCCGGATAGCCAGACTGCCTCGCGGTTTGCGGGATCTGCACCGCCGCGGTAATGCTGCTCCTGGCCGGCGTAGATGATTGGGATTCCATCAGAGAGAATGGTGAAAGCTGCGGCGTTTTTGGCGAGAGCCATGTCGGCGGTATACCTACGGGCTCATCAGAACGCTGGAGTGGCGGAGAGTCTGGGAAGAAACTTACGATGCGAACCGGGGATTATCGTGATTCTCCACGAACGTGCCCAACAAGGTTGAATCGGCGCACTCTGACTTGACCCTGTTGACCATATTGTAGAGGTCGCTCATGCTGCCACTTGTGGATTGGAAAGCTCTCAGAAGCGGATAGTACCTGCTCCAGTCAGATGCGCGGCGATGCACAGGTCTATATGCGTATGCCACTCACAAAGGGTAATTCAGCACCCCGTCCAGGACCTTTTGGTAGGGGCAAGTATACGCAGGATCTCCATCAAATATCTCCCCGATGCAGTAGACGCCCGCGGCGTCATTGTATCCCCGCCAGAAGTCTTTCTGGACATGCTTCACGGTGTCAATTCGTAGGCCGTCAACTGTAGCATGTCGGTCAATACTTGTCTTGTGCAGATACCGAGAGTGCGTACTTACTGGAATAATTGGACACTAAAGAGCCCACCCAATCGTACCAAATCTTTTGGACATCCGAGTTTGTAGTCTTAAGATCCGGTAAAGGAACCACATTGTCTCCCAACCAGCAATCTTCCACGTTTGTCTGATTATCGTAGTTGCTGATGAAGCAGAAGGGATGGAAGTAGGTCTGAGAATTGAAAGGGTGGAAAACACTATAGTCGACCGAATTGCCTGCACCGGCATATCCCTGTTTCAATCAGCAAGCAGTACATTCAAGGGCTGAACCCAACGAACCATGTGATTAGCAACAACGTCGACCATGAGATACATGCCCCTGTCGTGAAGAGCAGATGCCAGGGCTTTCAGGTCGTCAGCGGTCCCATAGTTGGTATTGACCGAATAACTTTCCGAGTCAGTAGGAACTGATACCAGTATGTAAGGGTGAGTTGATGCTCACATGTCTTGCTGCCAGTACCCGTGGTATGCAGTGCCATCCGATGTATCCTGGGGAAGTTGTTCGGTGACTGGAGTTATCCAGACCGCCGTAAAGCCCATTCCTTGTATATAATCGAGCTATATTGACCCAAATCAGTCATTGTTATACTCGCAAATTCCACGCTAGTTAGAGAACGCTTGCTGACTTGTTTGATGATGCCTTGCCAAGTACCACCACAATATTCCTGTTTCAAGTGTCAGTGCACCATGGCATGTGAAGGGAGACTCGGGATAGCTGACTCGAGCACTAGTATCACACGAGGCTGTCGTGGAACCGTCAGTCCGTGCAAATCGATCCGTGAGTAAGAAATAGATGGACTGAGATCGCCATTGCGCTGGAGTGGCCGCGAAAGCTGTCCCAGCAAGGCAAGAGAGAATCAACGATGACCAGCTTATAGGCATGCTGACCGTGCCGTACACTGAACAAGTCCGTAATCTTGTCTCTTGTCTCGACGGCTAAGAGCCAGGTAGGGAACTCCCTGGAGAGGCTTTTATAACCCTGAAACGAAGATGAAGCAGGATATCAGCGGACAATGGATCACCATCTCGGATCGTTAACAATCAAGAAACCCCCAAGGAATAACCTCAGAAGCGGGCGAGACTACCATTAAGGATTGAAGCAAATCCCCTGCGAATTTCCGCCCCTGGTCATTCAGCACGAGGATCTGCCGGTCGGTATTCAGTTTGCGGACTATTACATCGCCCTTGCAGCTTCGATAGAGGAAGATCAACATCTTCGTTGAAAGATAGAAGCTGATTCGACGCCACATATGGAAAATTGACCGATCGCATTTGGCACCGATAGGCTGATGCGGGGAAGAAAAGATGGTTGATGCAGGCAGGCAGGGGCATCAGGTGGTTGGTCTCTGGCTCTCTTCCTGTCTTGCAGTGTCACAGGCTCACAGCTGAGGTTCTCGTCCCATTTCCCTTTCTTCCCCTCCATCACCACCACCGTGATCCACTCAAGGCACTTCGTCGATCAAAGCATGTGAAAGCTGTGCATCCGGGTCATTCTTCGTCTTCCTTGAGGAAATAAAGATGAAACACCGCGTCCGAGCGAAATGACGATGAGGCAGTTCCTGACGATCGCCATAGGCGTCTTGACCACTGTCAGCGCTCTCTCGGACCCCGCTCAGATTGTGATTCCGGCAATAATAACACCTCAAACGACGGATCCTTTGGAGTCATGGTTAGCGGCAGAAACTCCGTATGCCCTTGATGGTGTGTTGAACAATATCGGACCGAACGGGGCCAAGGCGACTGGCGCTGGTTCTGGCATCGTCATCGCTAGTCCTAGTAGAAGCAATCCGGACTGTGAGTGGTTATTTTCTCCGGATCATCATAATTTTTTCATTCACTGCAACGCTCCAGGCTGACATTTGGTTGAGACTACTATACCTGGACTCGAGATGCCGCTCTCACTGTCAAATACCTCGTTGATTCTTTTGCCGCTGATAACGACCCTGCACTCCAAAGAATCATAGAGAATTATATAGACTCCCAGGCGCACTTGCAGACCATCCCTAACCTTTCTGGACGTCTTTCAAGCGGAGGCCTGGGGGAACCCAAGTTGAGGGTGGATGGATCGGCATTCCGCGGCTCCTGGGGCCGTCCACAGAGGGATGGGCCCGCGCTGAGAGCAACAACATTGATATCCTACGCAAACTGGATGATTGTATGTTTTTGCTGTCTTCGGTGAAGATTGAACTTCCTAACTTCGAATCTTTCAACAGGGTAATGGCCAATTCTCTACGGTTGAGTCAAGCGTCTGGCCAATCATTCAGAATGATCTTTCCTATGTGACGGAGTTTTGGAACTCCTCTACTTTTGGTATGTTTCTTAGACACGAGGGGATGATTCACTGACCAGATTCAAAAGATCTTTGGGAGGAAGTCCGCGGCTCCTCATTTTTCACCACGGCAGTCCAGTATCAAGCCCTTAGCCAGGGTGCTGCCCTTGCCCAAAGGCTTGGTAAACCCTGTTCAAACTGTCAGTCACAGGCACCGCAAGTCCTCTGTTTCCTGCAGACTTACTGGACTGGCTCGTCCATATTGGCCAATCTGGGTAGTGATCGGTCCGGGAAAGATGCCAATTCCATACTAGGTATCATACAAACTTTTGACCCCAACGCGGGCTGCGACGAAGAGACGTTCCAACCATGTTCTGATCGGGCGCTTGCAAGCCACAAAGAAGTTGTAGATTCCTTCCGCTCGCTCTATGCGATCAATGCAGACATCCCTTGGGGCCAATCTGTAGCCGTGGGTCGGTACCCAGAGGACGTCTATCAAGGTGGACACCCCTGGTATCTGTGCACTTTGGCTGCAGCTGAGCAGCTATACGATGCACTTTACCAGTGGGAGAGTTTGGGATCCCTCACCGTTACAAACATAAGTCTTGCGTTCTTCCAAGATCTGTACCAATCAGCTACAGTTGGAACCTACGCGAAGGACACCAGCACATTTGCCTCTATAACTGCAGCAGTTAGGGCTTACGCAGATGGATTTCTCCGCCTCGTGGTAAGGGTCACCCACTACCAATTTTTGGCAGAGCCGTATCAAGTACTAACATAACCACACAGCAAAAATACACACCACCGAACGGCGCCCTCGCAGAACAATTCTCGCGCTACGACGGCTCTCCCGTCTCAGCGCAAGACCTCACTTGGTCATACACCTCCTTTCTCACTGCAATTCAGGCCCGAAGATATGCTCTCAATCCTCGCGCATCACAAATCCAATATCTCCCCTCAAACAGGACCACTGCCCTCCCCCAAGTCTGCTCCCCTTCCTTCGCACGAGGGCCCTACCGCCCCGTTAAACATATCAAGTGGCCCAGTCCAGAGTGCATTTCCCCCCCGCGTACCGTAGCAGTTCGGTTCAATATCTTGGCAACCACCGTTATTGGCGAGGACATCTTCCTCGTTGATTCTATCCCCGCGCTGGGCGAGTGGGATGCTTGGAATCAGGCGTTGACGTTGAATGCGAATGAGTACTCGAGCATCACGCCCTTGTGGTACGGGACCGTGATTTTGGATGCTGGGGAAGAGTTTCAATTCAAATTCATTCGGAAGAGAGTTGGGGATGGCAAGGTTATCTGGGAACAGGGTCAGAATCGAGCATTTGTGGTGCCAAACGAGTGTGATGTTACCAATGCCACTATCAATGCCGTGTGGAGATGGTGATGTTCAATCCATTATATATATAATGACCATAGATCCTATGGAGCTTTTTCGGCTACTGCGCGACTTACACATAAATTTCCTGTCTCGGGTTACGGCTTACGATAGTATTTCGTAGTGTGTCCACAGATGAGCTGGGAGTTACGGTAATGCTTCGGCCATATCAATCTGGGTAGCTGTATGATCAATAATTTATTCCTCACTCGACAACGTATGATCCGTAGAAGAACTACCACTTCAGAACCCAATCCTCGGTCCAGGCGCCATGGGGCGTCATGTTTTGCAGTCCATTCACAGACAGCACCTTGGATGTGGCATTATAGTGCACCGAGCTAGGGTGGACTTTGCGGTCGTTGAACGTCACAGCGGAAGGCTTCGCGGCCACACCGAGGACAGTCACCTTATCCAGGCGATTCTTCTCCTTCCAGGCACCCTTAGCCGAGACCTTGATGCTCGAGCTGGCAGCCTGGAACTTGACGTCGAGAGTGGAGGACGGGTTGACACTGCTTCCGTCGTCGAGGTACAGCGAGCCAGAGGCAGTCTGGTTGCTGCTCAGAGCGGCGAGTAGCGACCAGGGAGTGTTACGGGCGTCTCTGGTCGTGAGGGCGGGTTCCTGCATGGGCAGGATGCTGCCTCCACGGACGAAGACGGGGATGTGGCCCAACGGAGCTGGGATGGTGGTGTTGACGCCGGGTTTGGCGTCAACGGCCGTCTGGGTGTACCAGTCGTACCAGATTTCGCCCTTGCTGACACCTGGGAACACACCCTTGACGGTGTCGGTGAGGGGCTCGAGGACGGGGACGACCATGATGGAAGGGCCGACCATGAACTGGGTGTCGACGGCGGCGAGGGAGGGATCAGTAGGGAACTCCCAGGCGAGAGCCCGCATGACGGTGGAGCCGGTGGTGTGGGCCTGCTGGAAGAGGGTGTAGAAGTAAGGCAGGATGGAATAGCGGATCTTCATGGCGGCCTTGGCGGCTTTGGTAACAGAGGCCCATCGGTAGGGCTCCTGGGGGATGGCCGCGAGGACATTGTGGTTGCGGTAGAAGGGGAAGAAGGCCGATAGCTGCATCCACCGGCTGCAGAGCTCCTCATCAGTGTTACCGTTGAAACCGCAGGTGTCTACGCCGAACATGGGAACACCGAACAGCGAGAATGACAACCCCTGCGAGATGGACAGGAACATGGAGCCCCATTTGGAGTTGTTATCACCGCCCCAGTGACCGGCCCACTTTCCCGAGCCTGCAAAGGTAGACCGACCGATGATGAAGGGTCGCTTCTCAGTGAAGACTTGGCGTAGCCCGTAGTAGGTAGCATTGAGTATCTGGTGACCCCACAGACTGTGAACATCGTATTCCTGGACACCGTCCACATGGGTGGAGTTGGGAGAAATGGCGTGAACGGCGAGGTCATGGCCCGTCTGAACATGGTTGATCACATAAGGAGGGTAGTTGACGTCACGGACGCCCGGAGTGGGCGTTGTCCGCAGATACGATGTCGAAGTCGAAGTCGACGTAGTGCCGGTTTGGGTGGCAGCAGCAGCGGAAGCCTGACTGGCAGAGGCCGCGGAGGCAGAGGCAGCTTCGGTAGAGTTCGTCACGTTGAAGGCCTCGGGATAATCGTAGCCGATATTGCCAGGTTCACCAGGAAGCTGGAATGGTGGGTGAACAGGGTTCAGGTGTAGCATTCCTGTTCCACAGCTGCCGACGCAGAAAGAGGAGACTTCACTCATATCAATCCAGATGCCATCAAACGCAACCTTCTTCCACCAGGTGACAAGTTCGTTGGCCCAGTAGTCAAATGCCTTGGGGTTGTGCCAATCGGGGAAGACAGTAAAGCCAGGCCACACCGCACCAATGTAGAGGCTGCCATCGGGGTTCTTGATGAAAACGTCATCCTTTGCCCCTCGAGTATAAGGCTCGTACCTAAAAATCCGATTTTTCGTAAGAAATTGACCATTTAACAAGTGGATAAGGTGACAAGGACTTACGCATCCGATGCATTGTCAGGGTTGGGAATATAGATGGCCGAGTCAACGATAGGAACGTAGTGACGTCCCGACTTGTGCAGTCTGTCCAGAAATTCCTCGCCTTCATCGTAGGGGAACCGTTCGGGATCGTTCTCAAAGTCACGGTAACCAAGCATGTAATCGATGTCGCTCCTGGAGGGGATGTGAGTAAAAGAAAATGGGAAGCATGTATAGACGCGGAAATCAGACTGACCAAATGTATTCCAGAGGAATCTCAAATCGCTCAAAGTTGTTGACCACTTCCTCGAGCTGAGACCAATTCCGGTAGCCCCAGCGGCATTGGTGGTATCCAAAGGCACTGTACTGCTGCATTGCAGGAAGTCCAATAGTGGAGAGCTGGTAGCTCTTTGTGACGTCCGCCTGGGTGGGACCCGAGTAGAAAGTCAAATCGATGCTACCACCAATCGTGCGCCAAGTGATGTTGCGGGGTTGCAGGAGAACTTCCTGACCATGAGAGTTTCTCAAAAAGACACCGTGAGAGAACGATTCATAATCCTCCGACATGTCCGTCTCGTCAGTGTTGACAAGCGAGTAGGACCCATTTGCGGCTTTGGTATAGTATCTGGTGTCGAGATAGAACGGGTGCTGTCCATAGATGTTGCTGGAGGGGTGATTGTGAGCTTCTCGACTTTGTTCATTAGGTTTCAGCCATGGTCAGCGACATACCTGTCAATCGGGTCTCCCACATCCGCTGCATAGGTCGTTAGGGTCGCGTTTCTCAAAAGCCGCAGCTGGGCCATGCGCTCCCCCAAACCGTACAGGTTGTAACCGTCGGGCAAAGAAGAGACGAACTCGATGAACTGGTTCTCAAAGACCAAGACAGAGCCCTTGGTATCGAAGAGGACGTCTCCGGTAGTCTTGCGAATCACCATGAGGTTGAAAGAAGGTTCATTGGACCACTTCACATCAAAGTCACTTTCAGAGGCGGACACGCCAGAGCCTTGCGTCCGGGGCACCAAGTCTTCCGAGAGGAGGTACCAAGAAGCGTTGGAGGCATCCACATGGGTGGGAACAATTTGGATGTTCAGGCGGTCCTGGGCCAGGAAATCCACCGTCAGAGATAACGAATCGACGTCTGTCCCGTACACATTGCATGGTTTGCCCGCGAGCTGCAGGCTGGCGGTGAAACCTTGGGATGTCTGCTGCACATTTGAGGCTTTGTAGCCCGGACAGACAGACTGCGCGTCAACAGCAAGAGGGTCGTCGATGTTGGCGATCAATTGAGCACCATTGTCAATAGAAGATGGCAAGGTGTATTGCGCGTGTGCTGAGGTTGCGGACGTGCTAGGCGCAAGCGAATGGCTTGCGCCATAGGCTGCGGGGAGGAGCCAAGCACTGGCGACGAGGCCCACGAGGCTGGCCATGGTGAAAGTCTCAGGGAAGCAGGACCAAACCGTGCTGTTGCTGATAGAAAGAAAATTAAAGGCCATGCCGGTGAGGGATCATCGTCTTTATATCATTGCCAGGTACAGAGGATATGGTCGAGGGCGAATTCCTGTCTTTGAGACGGAGCCCCACCTACATTACTGCTGTGCGTGGTATGTTGACCTGAAAGTAGAGACTCTGAGAAGATGCTGGGATACTGATGAATTACTCCGTCAAATGTCCGAGCAGAGATCCGCAAAGAATACCCCAGAATTGGAAGCTGGGAGTCTGGGACGGGGAAAAAGCTCCATCGCCAAAAGACAGACCTCCACAGCTTCCTAATCTGGCTGTGTTGCTTGTCCACTCTAGCTCATGCGGGGATGCGGGAATGCTGCTCTATTGGATTGGCGGGAGAAAGCTTATGCATGAGGAGAAGGGCGCAAGGGACCGGGAGCCGGAAGAACATAGCTCCGAGTCTGGTGTTCCGCACGCCAGCAGTTGATACCATGATGTTACAGTGTATATTACAGCCGATGTTCAAAGGTACAATACAACAAAAATTACATGTCGGGCCGAAGAGAGGACGGGACCATCTGCAGCACCAAGTCAAGTCAACCCACAGCGGCCGGAGCCAGGCCAAGAAGTTAAGTTCGAAATTAGTTCGGCAGCCTTTGCCACGCTCTTAAATTTAATCATCATAAAGTACCTAGGTATGTCCAACACAAAAAAAAAATAAATTCCCTCAGGCTTAACCCTCTGGAACCAGGTTGCAGAACAGGGAAAAGACCCTGATTGGTGACAATGGCCTTCTCCTGAACATCCCCGCTCACTGATCATCTGATACCACGGCCATGATTGGCTCTGAACCCGACAAATTCCCGAGGCAGCTGGACTTGGAAATAGGTATCTGGATAATGTTGGTTAATGTTGCATACAAATCATTGATAATATATCCTACTTGGATCACTCGGTGAGGATGTGAGGCTGGCGTTGTCTGATCGTACAATGGATTGACTTCAGTATAACTTTTCTTGTAGCTTGCTCGTGTTCAAGCCCGTCCGCAGCGACCTTTGACGATGGATGTTCTCATATCTGACTGGGGGAGCGACCAAAAAGCTCGAGAGTGAGGGAAGCACACTCCTGATGGCAACCAGCTGGAGGAAGCATCCCATGATTCCGTAGTCCGGCAAGTCATCAACTAGCAACGGTAGAGGACACCAGCATTGCATTTGCTCGTCATCTCATGCTTGTCCTCGGCTTCCCGAACCCATCTTTGAGGTGTACGTCAGTATGCTTCGCCTCGGCGAAGTGGAACAAAGCGAACAAACGCCAGTCGATTGGTCTCTTGTGTTGCTGAGGCACTACTTTACTCTGGTTGCATCGATGTCAACTCGACATATGGCAACTAGGATACCTAGCGAATAGCCATAGATGCCCCTAAACTAGGAGACATCATCATAACATATGATGGTATGACTCTTATACCCGCTGCCTACCTGCTACTTCTAAGGGTCATTGCACAAAATAACGCATCCACAACACCACGTCTACTTCTCCAGGTGGTCTCTAGTCTCTAGACTATGCTGGCGCCAGCCCTTTCAATCAACCCTCTTAGTCTGTCTACTACATGGTCCGTACTCCATACTCCCTTGGTTGTAATTTTGTCGTAGGTGCCGGCGAGATCCGGGGGTGATGTCAAAATCAAAATAAAGCCTGTGGAGACGAAGGGTTTCTTGTAGACTCTCCCACAAAAAGCCTTGCCATAGGAAATACTCCACTGTCCAGCTGGTTCTTGATCACTCTCTTCCAACCATCCACTCCGCACATGAAATGCTGGAAGCCACACCTCGCGTAGAAGTTAGTAAGTTTGAAGAGCCATTTAGATATGAACCACCTCCGAAGCCACAGAGAGACAGGAATCATTCGGCTCCAACTCTCTTTTTCCTCCGTATCTCCCAAAATAAGTTGAGATCCTGTTCCATGAAGATTCTAGTGAAGTCTTAATGGATGATGAGGATAACGCGGGGTCATACCGTATAGAGGCACCCAGCACCTAGGCTTAATAATAGGAGTAATAATAGGAGTTACCATAATACCATGTGTTACAGTAAACCCTTACAGTCTGACGATGTAGCTGACCTGATCTAGCCCAGAAAGGTACCTGGTACCAAATTATGTGTAATGGCCATAGTAAATGAATACAAACTTACAATACAACCATACATCCATTACAGATTTCTGTGCCCTGATCTCTGCCTTCTTAGTACGTACCTGCATAGAACTGTGAATAGTAGGTGGTATTGCAGTCAAAGGGCTCTAAACAGGCTTCATTTTGCTCCTCGCTTCTCCCCGCTTCTTCCCCAGATTTTTTTTTTTTGTCCCTTTTTATAATGTACTTTCTCTCCTTGAACTTATTTTTCTCTTCGACCTCGAGATCTGTTTGTTGACTTTCATGTCGGCTGGTCATGGTTGTTGTATTCATGACTGAATTCTACATGTGACCGTCATCGTCTTATGAGAAGCAATCTACAATGACCTCAAGGCATTGAAAATTTTGTGGTCATTCAAGGTTGTGTTCATAATATCTACTTCTTGACTTTACATACTATATCCTTCACTTTTTTCTGAGAGAGTTGCTTGTATCTGCGTCTTTGGCAATGGACTCACCCAGTGATACCCCTGCGAAATCTGAACAGAAACCGTTCAAGCAAGCCTGCGACAACTGTAGGCGTCGAAAGATCAAGTGCTCGAGAGAGCTCCCATGCGACAAGTGCTCCCGGCTCCTCCTTTCCTGCTCCTACAGCGATGTTCTGCGCCGGAAGGGCCCCAAGTTCCGGACTCTCTATCCCCTAGCTCCTATACATCCGCTCATTTCACGGCCTCGAGATGCCTTGCATTATGACATCCGACAGCATCCTCTGGACAAGGAGCTCCTTCCAGAGGCGGCAGGTTACCCCATAGGAGCCTCTCCCACGTCTCCTCCTTTTTCAGTGGTGGATGCCCAGTTCAACTCCCAGGAGTTCCTGGACTCATTTACACGACTCCCGCCTCCAGAACTGGTCTCATCCCCTGACTCGACCAACTCCATGTCTGACTCAGGAACCGGCCAGTTCTCTCATTTTTCGAGACGTCTCTCGTCACCTGTTCTGCTGGCACATGTGAACGTCTATTTCAAGTACCTCTTTCCCATCATGCCAGTGGTACGGAAGGAGGAAATACAGGCGGACTGCCAGCAGCTGGAAAGACTCTCTTCACGGAGGTATGCTTTTCTGGCTTCGTTGTGTGCCGCAACTCATATCCAGCTCAAGTTTGATGGTGCCATGGCAGTCTCTGACGCCTCTGCCTTCAACAACGAGGGACAGTACACGATGTCAGGGGAAGAGTTGCTCGCCGAGGCTGTACGGGCAAGGAAGGAGTGTGATCCAGTGGACGAAGTCGGCATCGAGAGTCTCTTGACTTCATTCTTCCTGTTTGCCTGCTATAGCAATCTCGACAAACAGGAACAAGCGTGGTTCTACCTATGCCAAGCTACATCCATGATTTTCACTCTAGGCCTGCATCGGGAGTTGACCTACTCAGAATTCAGCCCCGAAGAAGCAGAGGAAAAAAGGCGTGTCTACTGGCTGCTCTTCATCACAGAGAGGTGAGTTTACCTGCATCTGACAGGAAGTGCTGCTTGAAAGCCGAATCTGACACTTTTGTTTGTTTCAGGGGCTACGCGTTGCAGCAAGCGAAACCGGTCATGTTACGCAACTCCATCCATAAACCGCAAGTCCTCTGCTCGGACGATCCCATTCTGACCTACGGCTTCATCAATCTAATCAACATCTTCGAGAAATTGACTCCCAACCTCTACGACTGGGTCTCCGTCGGTGGCGGGGATGGCTTCTTCGAGATGCCTCCCATATCCTCCATCCAGTCCAGTCTCTGCAAACCCATGTCGCTAGACGGGGTAGTAGAAATCCAAAGAGTCGACATCCTCGTCACACAGCAGTGGCTGCAGGCGATGATGTGGAAGCTCTCCATGGCGCACGCCACGCAGCCCGGGTCGCGAGACGACGCCGTCCTTCCATTCCACCTCCCACTCCTGGTAGGAAAAGCCGTGATGAACGTCATCGAGGCTGCATCCCAGGGATCTGTCGATGCCCATGGGATTACCATGGTGAGTCTCTTCTCAACTCCGCCTCCTGATGCTACCCCCGAACAACCCCCCCACTGACTGACTTGCCTTTCTTTCCAGGAACAAAAACTCTTCGACGTAGGCATGGCCGTCGCAGACGTTACCCGCTCCCTCGGCTCGAAAGCCTCCCACCATCTCGCCGAATTGTCCATCGACCCCCACAAACTCCTCTGGGGCCTCCTCAGCACCCTCTCCCGCATCCGCGGCTCCCCCTCATACCTCTTCCCCACCCTCCTAGATCGCTCAAAGAGCATCCTCGGCCTCGACTGCTCCATCAACATGAGCAATTTCCTCCCCCTCATCACCGCGCCTCCCCCGGGCCCCGCGCCCTCCTGGCGCAACGGCCAACCGCACCACCAAAGCCAGAATAGATGGAACCTGCTTACGACCGCAGAGACAAAGGCAGAGGAACCGGACCGTGTCCCTGTACCTCCTTCTGCATCGCACATCCCATCCCCCATGACATTTCACGATACCCATCTCCTCCGGCGCGGCACGGTCATTGATTACGAACTAGAGAAACGGATGTAGATACGGATACCAGGCGTTGTGGTCTGCATTTTTTGGGCCTCGCGCTCAACTGACTTCGATGTATATCCTTACGTTGAGTTACCTGTACATATGTTTGTTTGTATGACTCGGCGATCGCAAAGCTCGCCGTCATCATGGTTGGATAATAGGTTTACAAGTGTACACACATTAGACATATTCGCTAGCACTAGCTCTCAGCTGCTATCGACCCAGCGTGCCCCTGACTCGAAGATAATCCCCATTCTCAGCGAGAATTCAGTAAACATATGCGATGAGATCTAACGTTCG